AAAATTGTCCAGAGATACAAAATTAAATTATTTCGGGTGATTTACCGATATGCTTGCTTCGATCTGATACCCCAATACGCAGAGAGTAGGCATCCTCCAGTCATAGCAAAAGTCCACAAGCTGTCCGTTTCGGTAAGTTAGTTTCAGAAGCTGGTGCTGCAAAAATTGAAAATTCGAGGCAACTGACCTCGTCCATGCAGTGTCGTTGTTTGCGACGCGTTCCTTCTCGATCAAAACGTATATTGAAGTTGTCACGCTAAGGATGGCAGCTATGGCACTCGATACTGAGCAAAGATGAGCCTGTCCACACATTTGAGCTCTGCCGGCCTGTAGGATGAACCTGAACGCTGATTAGATTTCGTTCCGATGACTTCAAGAAGTGAAGTACTTACCACTCTGTGATGAGAGCATATCTTGGTCGCCAAGACAACGTTGGCTGTGACGGATTGGCAGGTCGAGAATTGAACTGTCCCATGTCTGCTTAGCAAAGAAGTTACTTGGCAATCTTAAAGTGAATCAAGATGGGAATTTCTCTCTCGAGTTCTACTTCAGAGACAGAGAAAACGCAGGTCGAGGGATGGCCGGCTTTTTCATGTCTAAATGGGTGTCGGTATGAGAGAAAAGAGAAAACAAACGTAAGCAATGTTGTTTCGCTGTGTACCACTCGCATACAGATCTGTAGAAGGCGAGAGACAGACCCAGGACCTCTCCGGTAGAGCCAATCATATAGGATTTGACTTTTTACATTTTGAAAACAGGGCTTAACGTGATGCCGTTGGGCAGCGTTGCAGCAGTCCGATGGGAGGATTCTATATGCCAATTGTTCTTCAAGGCTTGATTCTTACCGGCGTTTTGTCTAGCACCGCAGCCGCGCTTGTCTCGACTGACATAACAACCCAGTCCCCTTGGATTTTGTTTTTTGCCCCCGGACGTTCGGCCTTTTCGCCATCGCTTCCTCTTGCAACACTCGCCCTGGAGCTTTTCAAAGGCTGCTGCTTGAGGATTCAACACTCCTCTTTCAATAGAAGTGGTCGAAACTTACCATCATGGCACCCGAGCATAGCAAATTCGCGAAAACGTGGAGTTGGCTCGACGTTGAACCGCATCTGGAGTATGCCCTTTCATATTATGGCGGCAGCTATACTGATGAACGAAGCGCGGATTATTCAAGACACCAAGAGACGAGAGCGAGGTATGTGGAATGTCCACAATTCTATATCAGTATTTAACATAGCACAATACGATAGCCTCGATCCTTGCCACGACCCTTGCGAACCCAGCCATTGCGAACACCATTCTTATGGTAATGGCATACACTTCAGAGCAGAAACGTTTCACTACCCTGCACAGGTTTTTTATTCGGGAAACAACCTACGGCGCGTTGCTCGGGCTGCTGCGTACACCTGTGCCGTGGGAAGCTCAGCCTCATTGAGCTTGTGTGCTCATCAACTTCAGGACTCTCACTCTTGGGACGATGGCCGAGAGCCTCAGAATGTAAGTCTATATCTAGATTGTTACCCCTCCTTCACCATAAGGCATCTGGATGTGGGCATATCATACGATATCCAACTAAACGGAAACATGTGATACTGGGCTAATTGTGTGAATGACGGGACAAAGGCGGCATCTTTGGCGTTGGTTCCGTCCATGATCGCTTACGGAACCAGCACTGCCGTGATATACCACCTCGCCCAGTCGCGAGACAGGTATCAGGCTAAAATTCTAGCCTCATCAATCTCACTCGCGATGATCTGCGGGAGCTTCAGCGAGACCAGCGTTTCGACGCTTATTCTAGCTGTTCTTCCGTGGACAATACTATTGGGGCTGTTATTGAGCGCTATTGGGCATTGGCTCTGGAATTCGCGAGATGTTATGTAGCCCAAGTCAGTGTTGCTTTGACCGGTCGGCAATATTTCGGGTAGGAAAGGGGCGGTGGAGGAGGCATGGATGGGCCGAGTGCCAACACGGCATGTCTCTATGGGGTACTTTGCTTCTATTTATATATCTCCTTTTATATATGCACTTATGTTGTTGAATGATTCATCAGATTAAACAACGTGAGACTTCTTAGTCTGGACAGGTGTCCTCTCTATCTTCCTCCCGCAGATGTTCGGCCTAGCCGTTCTCCCGCTGGACCATGTCCTGATCGGAAGAGGTTACACCATAAGGTACAGGATCTCACCGTGGCCGACAGGTCTTGTTATACCCGAACTCTCGTCTGCCCGCAAGGGGATGGCCGATGGCAAGTCGCAATGAGCCTTAATCGCCAAGGACTTGCTGGGTCTTCTCAATACAAGGCGAGATGGTATCCGCAAACAATTATGACATTGGTAAGACCGGGCGCGATGGTAAAGTTGTATGTGCATTTGTGAGAGAATCTAAATACAGACGTAAAGAGAATGTTTGAGGAGTACCCCTAAGTACATGGTAAGAGATATATCTACAAGCAATATATATACTTTGAAAAAAAGCGAACGACTGTTGGCCATATGTGCGAGTTCAGATCGGTGTCCATTCCGACCAGGCCAAATATGTACGAAGTTTTGCCCCACATCTATACACAAATATTTTCAGTGTAGCAGGACCTTGAATGGCTTTAGTCAAAGGAGTGAAATGAGATAAAAAGAAGGAAATTCCCACAGGCTCTCGATGGCGAGAAAGGGGTTGTCGTATGGCAAGTCGACGTGCTTGAATTTGCTTGCCTCAGGTTGAGTTGGTGAGTGTAGTACCTGTCAGCTCTTGCGGATGGTATTCTTGTTCAAAGTCGCCTCCAGGTCGAGAATGAGAAGTTCTGAAGTAAAGAGAAGACATGAAGGAACCAGCGGTGATCCCAAGAGGCAACACTGGGGGGATTGTGTTGATCGTTGAGGCTGATTCACCCAGAAGGTGTCTGATAACAAGTAAAGCCCCAACAATTGCCCAGAATAAGAAACTACAAACATGTCAGTGGCTTTTAACAAAAGGAGAACACGGATTTCTGATGATCAACGCACATATGGGCCTGTCGAGAGTTGAGGGACCAGATGAGGCACAGCAGAGCACTACCAAACATGGCAAAAACCCAGAGGCTGGTTATTCGTTAGTCAAAATCTGGTGTATTTGTGGATTTCGGACGAACCCTAGCCAAAGCTTGTCGTCGAATCCACGAGTATCTCTTTCCAGGCACAAGAAAACCGAGATCGCCATCGTTGATACACCCATGACGGTTTGCACGATCGTCATCCATAACCAACGGTTAAAGCAGGCTCTAGCGACTCTCGAGCCGCGGCAGAAACTAACACCCAGACATAATATGTCAGTGAGGAGTCCATCTAGATCCAGAATTGTTACTTGGATGGGTGGAGAGAGCATACCGCTTCCATGGCAAAAGGCTCCCACTCCAGAACGTGGATGCTGTGGTGAAGCGCAACGGAGGAGACGCTTCCGAGATTACTGGGGCGGTCCCATTCATGGCGAAGCGAAATTCTTGGACAGTTTTTCGATAAATTAGGCGGAGACAAATGTATCAAAGGAGGAAGGTTGTAGGGCGGTCTTGGAGGGCGCGGGAAACTGGGAAACAAAAGAGGGTGTGGTCCATAATACCGAGAGAAAAGCGCAGAAAAGTACAAGACGCGGTGTCACAAAGGCAACATTGGAGGCCTCTTAAAAGGGTCCAATGGTTGAGTTTCAACTGAGACAAGCGCTTGAACTGGACGAAGCTGGCTTACCAGACATCGGCAACCATTGGCTTTGAATAAAAGTCAGCAAGGCCCTCTTTGGGTCTGGGAACGCACACAGAAACCCCATCTGCGGTCAAAGAACTTTGCTGCCACGAAAAATCTCAAGACCAGCTACACGTACCTCAAATCTCACACCATGAGCCTTGAAGTTGCTGCTTTGGCCCTGGGTATCATAGACTGCATGGTAGCGCTGGCACCCAGAGCAACGACAACACCTAGTGAGAATTGGAAGGTGCCAACGATACCGACGCCAACAGCACAAAGAAAACCAGACTTATCGGAGGGATTCCAAGACGTGGAGAAGTTCGCCGAAATCTTCAACCGCGCATCTGGATTGGAGCACCCTAACGACGGCATCGTGACTATTCCCAACTGCGTCATGGAAATGAGAGGATACAAGAGCGAACTATTTCGCATGGAATTGGAAGAAGGCTGGAGCCAAGAGCGGTATTGCTATCCCAAATGGAACTCATCCGAAGAATCTGCTGACAAAGTCGTATCAGTGGCCCATCAAGGGCTGTCCCAACACAAGCAACGAGTAGGATCATCGCGAACATCTTCGTTCTGACAAGCTCTTTGTTTCTGGACTATTATGCATTGCACCGCAAGGAACATGGCTCGTTTGAACTGCCAGTGGGAACTCCATGGCCACCAAGCAACTCATTCGTAAGGGGAAATTGGATCAAGGTCAGAACTTCTTCAAAGCAAAGCGGAAGATATATTTTTGACATCCATATTGCTATATGCTAGATCGACCATCTCTTGTCCGAACTTCCCCCAGGCATGCTGGTTGTATTACTGCTTGTCTATGGGGCATCAACATCGACGATTTACCACATGAACCGAGGCGATAGACTTCGAGACGTCACAACAGGGGCGGGTATAGTTATCGGCGTGGTGCTGGGGTCTATTTCTGGATACGACACAGAGGCAGTTCTCCTTCGCATGCTTCCTTGGTCCATATGGCTAAGCCTCTCGATCAGTCCGATATGCCATCGCTTCGTTCGCCTTTCCGAGAAGGCAGCTAGGAAGAGACACACTGAAACTGTCTTGGAAGATCTATCTTTCAAAAGTACAACGATATAGACTGGGAAGAACAAGTATTGTTGAAGCTCTCGGTGGCAGACTTGGCAGATGCGTAGGATGTTGTAGGTTTAGTCACACCTGCATGGAACGATACTGAGCCTTGGGGCAAGAAGATTGAATTGTATTATATACGATTATGAAACGCTATGCAAAGTAACTGCCTCTTGTCATCATCACTCGTCCTCCCCCAAACATCTACGCCTTGCACAGACGTCCGTCGCTCTGGACAGTCCAGTCGTCGCTGCCGACACCGGTCAGAGCGTAGAAAGTGCTGCAGGGGTCGTAGATTCTCTTGATGGCCTTAAGCTTGGCGTAGTTGCCGCCGTAGAAGACGTCCTGCCAGTCGGCCTGGTTGCGGTCGGCCTCGTTGAGGTAGGCGCCGCCGCCGGGGGTGAGCTCGGCCAGGATGGGCACGATGGTGTTGGTGACGGTGGTCTGGCCGGAGACGAGGGTGGAGAAATCGGCGCGGTCATAGGCACTGCGTTCCGTTAGTAACTAGCTCTTAAGGGGGTAAAGATAGGGGTAACTCACGTTCCGACGACGGCGGAGAAGAGGGCCGTACGCCAGGCGGGGTTGACGGCGTTGGGGGTGGCGCTGGAGTCGCGGGCAACGTTGATGGTCAGGCCGGAGATGATGGCACCGTTGTCGAGGATGGACTTGAGGGCGGTGGTGAGCGTGGTGGCGGAGGCGTCGTCGGCGACGAGGGTGCGGGGCATCAGACGGCCGCCGATGTTGAACTCCGTGACGGCGGGCTCGGGGTTCATGTCGTTGTAGCTGTCCAGGTACGTGTCGTACTGGTTGATGTGGTAGTCTGGTTCACATTAGCCCAATGTACTCAACAAAGTTCGGCAGGATTTCTTACCGTAAGTGATGCCAGCGGCGTCGAGGGCATCGATGGTGGGCTGGAGCAGAGCCTGGAGCTCAGCCTTGGTGAGACCGGGGGCGGTGGTGGGCTGCATGAGGAAGACACCGGGGCTCATGAGCCAGATGCTGACGGCACCGGCATCGACGATATCAGGCAGAGTCTTGAGGTAGGTGGTGACAGCGCCGTAGAACACGTCGTCGGTGACACCGGTGTTGGTGAAGGTCAGGTTGGCAGATGAGGTGATCATGTCAGGGTAAGCCTTGACGGTCATGGACAGAACAGCAGCGTAGACACCGCCGCCGCCACCGCTCAGAGCCCAGTAGAGGTCAGAGTAAGCGGTGGGAGTCGCGACAATCGTCTGGCCTCCGGAAGTGACAACCTCCCACTCGAGAACCTGGTCAGCTCCAAGACCGTACTTGGAAACAAGAGGGCCGTGGCCACCGCCTTGGGTGTATCCTCCCGCGAGTCCAACAGTCGGGCTGTTACCGCCGACAACAACGAGTCCCTGAGCGTGAGCAGCGTCCTGGGCCTCACCGGCTTGAACACCAGCACCGACCTTAACGGCCTTGCCGGTGTAACCAGTAGACTTGTAGTCAATGACCGAGATATCCTTCAGGTTGTGAGTCCACAGAGCAAGACCACCGGCACCGGTGGACTTTCCAAGGTAATCGTGGCCCGTGTTGCGGATGACGAGGCGGATGTTGTTCTCCTGGGCGAACTTGATGGTGGCGCTGTAGTCCGCAGCGCTGGTCGCCTTCACAGCGTACTGGACGTAGGTGCCGATGATGCAGCGATCGGTGGGCTGGTTGAAGGGGTCGCAGCTGGAGTTGGCGAAGAAGGCGGCCATGACGGACGAGGAGGTCTGAATGTGCGTCTCGGACTGACCCCAGGCGTTCTGCAGCGCCGTGCACTTGGCCTCGTCATACGAGCCGAAGGAGCTGTCATGGCAGACGGCGCCGATGGGCACGGTGGCGATGAGACGGCCGCCGACGGTGGTGTTGAAGGCGTCCCACTCGGCTGCCGTGGGCCAGCAGTCGTCGCCGGGGAAGCAGCGGCAGGTGGCGTTCGAGTCCTCCCTCTCTTCGAGGGGGTTGCCGAAGGAGCCTCCCGGCTTGCCGACGGAGAGAGCGGAAACGACCGCCGGAGCGAGTGTGAGGAGGTTAATGAAGGACACCATCTTGAGACTGGGAGAACCGCCGCGAGCACAAAGGGGGTAGCGAGAGACTGGAGGTGAGGGAGGTGAGGAAGGGAAGGGAAGGAGACTTCACGATGCAACTCTAGGTCTTGAACGCTACATATTTAACTTGGCCCAAGGGCGTCTTCACTCACGAACCATAAACAACGCATACAGACAGGAAATGAGATGCCGACCAGACCGGGAGACTCTGACGATGGGTTTGATTAGCACCCATGTTAATATTGGCTCTTATGGCCCACGATGCCTACGCCTGTGCGATGTTTGGGGAAAGAAACTTTTCAGCTATTGGGACGGAATGGTCCTACGCTGCGGCGGGCCTGACTCTGCTCCCTGCGCAGGCTGGCGAGTTCGAGAGAAAGATTGACCGTGGCAGGGCCGGGAGACGGGAGCCGCGTGGCTAAGTCGTCAGTTGTGCATGCCTTGGACGGACTGAAGCGGACTGAAAGAGGGGGGAAAGGACTAAAGAGAGAAGAAGAGAGGGAGCCCGAGGGGCCGAGTAGGTCGGGCTTGCCGCAACAGACAGCCGGGCCACGGAACAGTTCCCAGATGCGGAGACTCACAGACGGTGGCTCTAGGTGGTAGGCATACGACTGAGGTTCCGACAGCTCATGTGAGCTAATATAGGCAGGTAACATCGCAACATTGCTCTTTAAGGGTCGTCCCTGACACGCGTGTTGTGGGATGAGCAAGGATTGAACGTTATCTGCCAAGTTGACAAGAGCAGACAAGAGACTCTTTTGCACTAACACGCATCGGATCCGGGCAGGGGACCTCGCTGGTGGTGCATGCGTACGCAGCACGCCAAGCGTCCCCAGTGGTGCGGCCGCCTCTAACTGCAAAAAGCTGTTAGAACATAGTGCTAGAGAGGAAGGAGAATGCTTGTCATACGGTTCATCCAAACGTGCAGTGTGTGTGGTTGCAGCAACAAGGTTGAATGCAGGTGGCAGTTGGACCGGGTGGCACCGCATGGAGGAGGGTTTACCCCGGGCCCTCCGGGTTGACGGACGAGACCCGAGCCCGCAACGGCGAGGACAGACCAATAAGCCGGCGCCTCTAGGCCCCGTGTGACAACTACATCCGACCGCCGATGAACACCAGCCGACTGGCACACTAAAACACCGAAGAGGAGGGGAGCTAAGTGATCCTTCCCGTCTGACAACATCGAAGCCAAATCGCATCGTATCGTCTCGTCCAAAGCTAATGCGAGTGAATTCTGTCGCTAGTCGGTGCCTTTCCTCCGGTAACTCTACACTAAAGCAGGCTGTCATGAATAAGTGTTCATCCAACGCCCCTGTTGTTGCGCTCAAAGACCCCGGCCTCCCGCGGGCCGCTCCCTGCCACTGCGTGACTCGTGACCCCTGTTCAACCCAGATCACGCACGTCAACTATTCGATAACAACCTCTCGCCCCCTCAACTCAATCAGCATTCGCCCGAGTCTTATCCGCGGTCCTGTCCATCTCCATGACTCGCACTCGACAGCATTGGCAAGGGTTGCAACTTGTTCCTCCTGCCACAACCAACTCCTTCACACACGGAAGCAAAGGGCAACCCGCCGCAAGAGAGCCCGGGAAATAACGCGTTGCCAACAGGCCCAGCAAGCCCAGTGAAAGTGACAGTCCTCCGTCTCATCAGTCACTTCTCACACGTGCTCCAACGACACGAAACCGTCACCACCACCACCAACTGCACCGCCGAACAGCGGCAGGGAGTACAGACACACCGTCCACAGGCACCACAGCCTCCATGCCCGGGCGTCCGTTTCCGGCGTCCTCGTCCGGAGCACCCCGACAACCACCAGGGCGCCAGACACCACCGGCAGCAGCACCCCCCACGACCGGATGCCCCAGAAGTACACGCACACACAAGACCACGCCGGCACCAGCACCGCCAGCGACGCCCGCGACGCAAAGTCCCCGAAGAATAGGGGTATCGTGTTGCGCCCGCGCCCCGCGTCGCCCGCCTGGTCCTTGAGGTCCTGCACCTGCATCGTCGTGAGGATCACCGCGCCGATGATGCCCGCCCACAGGTACCCCTCGCGCGTGATGCTGTTGCCGCCCTCTGAGGCTGTAGCAGCGGCGGCGGCAACGTCTCCAATGGCGATCTTGAGCGAGGCCGTGTTGAAGAGGAAGTACGCCACCGCGATGATGGCGTCGCGGGCGAGCGTGTCGCCGCCGCGGAGGTCGTTGTACAGCCACGTGAGGATAAGGATGAAGACGCCCTCGCTCCAGACGCCGAGCACGTAGTTGAAGACGAGCACCGCGGGGATCGCCACGAGCATCGCCGCGCGCGTCTGCTCCTGCGTGACCTTGCCCGCGGGGATGGGCCGCCACGGCTTGTTCGCGCGGTCCTCCGCCACGGACTCGGAGCCCCTCTGGTTGGCCAGGTCGAAGATGAGCACGCTGTACCAGTTGAAGGCGACCACGAGGGGGAACCGCTGCAGCACGGCGAGCGCCGTCGCCTGCCCCGAGGTCAGGGGCGAGCCCGTCAGGCCGCCCAGGAGCCCGAAGGCGGTGTTGGGCACCACGAAGGTGGAAAAGTTGCTCTCGGTAAAGTCCCAGATCAGACGGGGGACGCTGAGGAGGGTCTTTACCGTGCTGGTGGCTGAGGAGGAGGACGACGACTTGCTGGGAGCTGCGTCGTCTTCAAACGCGGCTCGTTTGAAGGTAAGGGGAGAGTGCTCCCCAATACCCGGTTGTGACATGATGGGTAATGTTTGAGTGTATGCGAGTGTATGTATGTCTCCCGCGGTGTCTTGAGCTTTGTTCAAGGGTTGGGAGATGAGATGTGGACTGAGAGTGATCCGACAGTCTGGTACGACAGCTCAGAGGAGATGGAGATGGTTCTATTCATATGTGCCCTTTGGAAGAAGTCTCCATGGGCTCTAGATAAAGGCGGAACCTCCAACAAGTCGGGTCTGGACTGGACTGGACTGGAACCCAAGAAGGCGACTCTCTCCATCGTCGGCCATTTTGTCCCCGGGAACCGTGGCAAAACGTCCACCGCTTCATCCATCCAACCGACGTCCATGACACAGTCACGGTCGTGATGAGAGCCCGAGTCCTCCAGGAACGACCTTCATGTCTAAATTGTTAGGGGGTACATCTGGGTCGTCTTCATCTCCCCCCGGCCATGAAGGGGTCCTCGCGAGGGCATACGCAGAACCCGCGCATTCCATGGATGTGATGGGCACCGCAGCCAGCAAGCCAGAGCGGGCAGGCGGCATGGCAATATGCAAGAGCCCCCTGAGCGATCATACCTCGACGAGGTGAGGCAAATAACCTCGTGGACAATATTGAGTGCAGCAGAGCCATGGGATGGCATGTGGCATGGCGGCATGGCTAGCATGGCATGCGCATGCGCAGTCGTGAAGCAATTACCAACATGGGACACCGTTGGGAAACGTTCCTTGAAGCGGTTTCCGTTTAAGAGTTCGTCGCATTTGGCGCGTGGATTTGGGTTCGAAACTCCACCCCGTTCACATTCAACCTGGCTACCTTACGCCGGGGGCACGCATTTCCAAAGTCTAATAACCGCGGCCTTGGTTTTCTTGGTTTTAGAGTAGGGCCATTGTGGATGTCGTTGTGGGTTTCGTCCTCTTGGATTAAAGGTGCCTCTAGTGATGCGGTCAGTCTCCATGGAGATCGCTTGAGCTTCACCGGTAGTGCGACACCAATGTCGTAGCAAGCGTGATTAAACCTCGACCCATGGATGATGCCGCGCGAAGTAGTCGTCGAGAGCCAGAGAAACTCGCATGTTTCTTAGATAACACGATCCATGGACGTCTAAACTATGTTGAACAGGGCAGGTAGTGGGAACAATTTACCCAGATATGTGGAGAAACAGACACACACAGACTCAGTTCGTCTCGTTTTCGCAAGGTACCCGCGAAACGGGTATTGGTAAAAGGGACGTGTGTAGGTAAATCACACAGACGATTCACGATATGGGGGCCTTCCGATGATCTCTTGCCTCTCTCTCTTGCCTTCTCCTCTTCTCTCTCTCACCTTATCCGAGACTCTGCGCACGTGTACCCGTCGGATGCGACCATGGCTGCCATCGCCGTCCCGTTTGCTTTGACTATGTAAGCGGGGGGCCGATAGCTTAACCGGAGCTGTTGACAAAACACACGCCGCACGCCCAGCATTTCGATTCATTAGACTCGCCGTCGGGATATCCTGAGTGTGAGCGGAGGTGGGTTACCCCCGCCGTGGTTTTGGGTCCCTTGGGTTGCGTGTGCGTAGCCTGGCCCATCCGCGCGCCGCCCTCTTTCTCGCAAGGGAGACCATGTCCTGGGGACGAGAACCCCTCTGGGCGCCAACCAAAGTCAAACTGCCGTTCTCCGAAGCGGTGATCGACAGGACCGTGGGTGCGGTTTTTGGGCCTGCAGCTGGCTTACTTGCCTGCCCAGGTGGCCTCTGTCTGCGGGTAATGGGAAGGGGGGTCGATTTGTAAATCTCCCGGAAGTCTTTTTTGGTCTGTGTTCTTCGCCGTGTCGGTGCTTAAGGGGTTTGATGCAAGCAATCTGAGATCCTGGCTGTGAATCATTGGGTATTTGTGTGTTTAAGGAAAATAAACTACAACAGGTTAGGAATAAAAGTTAAGGAAAAACGACAAAAAAGAAATAGAGAAAACTGTAGCAAAGAAGATGAAACGTCAAGAAGTGGTAATATGTACAACATGTCTCGTAATAGAACAATCATCCCTCATATCCAGGCTATCCCGCACAGCCTCATATTTGTCTTCTCTCCCACGAATCTTGTGAAGTGGTAATGTCCTGCTGGACGTAAATCACCGGCCGGCTATCCCTGGGCGCGTCGGCGCCGGGGGCGTAGTGGCACTTTGTCGTGACGGCGGGGTCCTTGCTGCCGCGCTCCAGGTCGACATACGAGACATTATCGCCGAGCTTGTCGTACGTCCTGCGCGGGTGGTGCACCCGGCTGCCCTGCGTGCTGTTCAAGTCCTTCAGGTGGATGTTGCCGCGGTCCGTCGACGGGTTCGTCAGCTTGGAGCCGATCTTGGAGACGGCGGGCTTGACGTAGGTCTTGAGCAGGGGGCCGAGCGTGGGCAGGCAGGCGATGATGATGCCGATCCAGAGCTCCAGCAGGCTGATGAGGCCAATGTCGTGCAGGTTGTAGACGAAGTCGAGGTCGCCGATGGTGGTGACCGTGTTGATGAGGCGCCAAACCATGATGGCGATGGTGCTGCTGGGTGTTAGTCGAGATTCGATCGGTATAGCGCATTTGTATGCGACTTACGTGATTCCCATGCCAAACATGGCGGTGACGGCGACCTTGTTCCGTAGAGGCATCTGGAGACCCCAAAGCGCGGGCATCGGGAGGGCCGTCATGGCGATGTCGACGACGATGTTGATGGTCACGGAGACGATCTGGTCGATGGTGATGTCGCGGCAGTGGCCGCCCTCGACGGGTGCCCACTGCTGCGACATGGGCGTGCAGCGGCTCATGAAGAGGATGAGGAACGCGACGCCGTACGCCCCCACGACGCCCATCAGGATGCGCGACCAGCGCTTGAACTGGGCCGTGGCGAAGATGCGCGTGTACATCCACAAGATGGCGAACTTGATGAAGATGGTGCCCAGGAGCCAGGTGACGCCACTGGCGAGGATGAGCTAGTTGATGGTGTAAGTCGAGCCCGGGCTATGGAGATGTGGATGAAGTGGAAAGCATACCTTGAACTGAACCGCATACTCGGGAAGAGTAAGTTCGTTGGTGTGCTTGCCCAGGCCGTTGTAGATGGCCCATACGACAACACCCTGAAGCGCAATGATGTTTGCCTGTGTCCAAGTTAGCCAGCGCCCAAGCAGACTGACAAGACATTCATCCAACTTACAAATGCAAACCCAATCATTCCGTCATCCCAGTAGAAGCCTCTGCGCATAATGCGCCCGGCCCAGAAGCGCAGGGCCAACGCCACGGCGTCAATGACGGTGAAGACGACGATCCATACCAACAGGGCAATGCCCCTCGAACCAGCGCCAGGCATGGTGGGCAAGCAAGCAAGCACGTATTATTAGCAGCAGCGAAAGCCGAATCCCAACCAACGGGACAAATTGTAAGAAGCGCGCTTGCGAACGTCTGTTGGTGCGAATCAAAACCTTCAAAGTTGAACAATCTTCTCAGCCGACAACCGCCGTGGCGCAAGACCTTCCGGGTGGGAGGGGGAATTCATCCAACTTATGGAGGGCGCAAGCGATCTATCTCACACACACGCACACAAGCAGGAAAAGACCCGAACACACTTAACACACTATTTCTCCCGAATCCATGGGCCACATCTCACACACCCGAGAGAAGCGATGGGGGACGGGCTGGCTTAGCCTTGCTTCGGCTGCCCACCACAACCATCCCACCAGCAGCACCTTCTTTCGAAACGTGGACTCCGTGACTATCAATCACATATCGGTAGAGGCGCAGAAAAAAGAGTGGACGAGACCGGTCGATGAGACACCAGTCGATGTGACCCTATTCGCGGTAGTTCCCAGCTTCGGATGTGGTCATATGAGATGCCAAGTACCGCACTTGCATACTGTACCTTACTTTGCGGTGCCATTAGTTCCCTAGCGCTTGCTTCTTTTTTGCCCGCCGTCAAGGTAAAGCTGCAGGAAAACACCTCCTTCCATGCCTCATCTGATCGAGACACAGCTGCACTAGTGTTAAAGAAAGATGGGATGACAGTGGGACATGAATCAAGACAATGCATGCGCCCATCTCCACCACGCTTGCCTCGCCGACGACTTGCACTGCGAAAAGCAATACCAGTATCTCTAGTCCTTTGGAGGACCAACCATCCGCGTGGTGTTGCTGCACGTGTGGATAATATCGATATGGGGGATCATAGATTCCCACTCTCGACGAGGGGAGAGGGGGGGTCCATCTCTGCGTTCTCAGATGTGATCGGGAAACGCACGGCATGATGTTACGTGATGGACCTGGTCCCCTTTCTCTTGAGGCCGGGTTGGGAGAGAATAGATAGAGCAGAGAGAGGGATCACTTTGTGCAACTGCCCACAACTCTCGCAACTGACCCCGGCCCACCCCCAGGGTTGCGACGTTCAAGGCCCCTTGTCTCTTTCGTCAACTTCCAGTCTCCGCTTTAGACAGTTATTGCAGGGGTGGGAACCCATTCCAGGAAGTGCTCTCTCAGGTTTGGAGGTGGGGGGGAGTTTCAAAGTGGAGTCTCTGCGAGTTGATATATCAGAGTTTCCTACCCTTGTCCAACGAAGCTGACCGAGATCCACCCACATGTGAGAGAGGAGAAGAGGGCTGGCTGTCTGCAAGTCTTCGCATGCAGCAGCGACAGGCTAGCAGCAACACCACCTTCAGCGCGTCTGCTGTCCTGTTACAGCGAGCCATTTCCCAAAGCCTGTTCAACCGCGGTAGACCTTCTAATCAAATGCCGCGCCTTGCCTCGAAGGCCGCTGGTGGCGTCGCACCGAATCCGAACGGCCGCCGTCTGATGCGGTGCGTCTCCGGTAATTTTATGCAAGGCACAGGTGTCACTGCTGAAGAGTTTCATCAGCAGCAGCAGTGCTCCCCTCCCCTCTCTCTGCCTGCCTCGTTGGTATTGGTCTATGTTTGTCAGCGGGGATGTAGTTACTGTCGTCAACCGGTCAGCACCTTGCGTTGGCGACCATCAGACCAATCCAACAGGCGCAACGCTGGCTTATTTCGACGCCGCACGCTATCCCGCACCAAAGGCCTTCCTGTCGGGCTGTGTTCTGGCACCGTCGCTGCGTTAAGGCACCTCCCAATTGCTTAACTCCGTTCAGCGTGGGGCTCGCGGGCTGGGCAACATGTGCTTTTGAGTTCCGTTTCCTGGGGATAAAAGACGGGCCCTGGACTCGCGATGTTCTATTCGATTGCATCCCATCAGTGATAGCTCATTGCCCTCCCCCAATCTATCGACTCTTACCTGAATATCGCCACTTCCAGGATCCAGACTGCCTCGGTCGTTATCTCCGTTGAAATCAGTTAGTCGAAATGCAACCCCCTCTGCCCTCCGCCACGCCGACATGGCACAACGACACCTACGATGCCATATCCCCCTCCCGGCCGGAGCTGAGCGCAGCGGGGAAGACGGCCGTCGTGGTCGGAGCGGTACGTCCTCTCATAACCCCCCAGTTCATCCCACAGCTTTTGTCCCGATAGAGACAGCTCCAGCCCCCCTCCATCTGTATATCATCAACTCTAACTCTTGTGTTCAATCCCAAAGGGGAGCGGAATTGGCCGAGAGACTGCCCTAGCGTTTGCTGCTGCCGGGGCGGCCCGAGTCATTCTTCTTGGCCGCTCAGAGAGCGCGTTAAGCACCACCAAATCCTCTCTGCCGCCGTCTGTTCAGTCCGAGACGTTCGTGACCGATATCACGAGTGAGGAGACGTTGATCAAGGTGGCAGCCGCGATCGGCAAGTGGGATATTCTTGTCCTGACCGCTGGCTACACCTCGCCCCCGTCCACCATCGCGGGGTCCACCTCCGACGAATGGTGGCTGAACTTCGAGGTCAGTTGTGACTCTGCACAGGTCCCCACGCCAGCTGCGACTCCATACTCACATGTGACAAAAAGACGAACACCAAGGGCACATACCTGGTAACCAAGTCGTTCCTGCCCACGGCTAACCCCTCACATGCGTCTGTCATCGCTTTGACGACCGGCACCACGGCACTGCCGGTGTCCATGGTGCCCGGCCTGTCGCCGTACATGGCGTCCAAGCTGGCGCAGACCAAAATCGTCGAGTTCCTCGCGGCGGAGAACCCGAATCTGTTCGCCGTCAATCTGCACCCGGGCATGGTAGAGACCGACATCTTCAAAAAGAGCGGTGCCAAGGCGGAGGCCCTGCCGATGGATAAAGGTGCGTGCTGTCCCTGTCAGATACCCATATCTCACGACCTGGGTCGCTTTCTTTCGAGCTGCAACTCCGCTGTGGGCCGACCAGGCTAACGTCCGTGCCATGATGAAGTCCAACTCCCCGCCCATTTTGCTGTGTGGTTGACCAGCCCGGAAGCTGCCTTCCTGAACGGACGCTCGGTCTGGGCCAACTGGGATGTGGAGGAGCTCAAGAAGAGTGCGAAAGCGATTGAAGCTGGCCCGCTCTACACCAGCGGCATCAACGGGTGGCCATTTTCCCCTCTCGCTTGAACATTCAGCCCAGGGGTTGTTCATATCTTGATTTAGATCATGTCCAGTGTGTTTAAAGTGTATGCAGAATGATAAAACAAGAAAATGTGTTTATGGCAATTTGGAAATATGACAATAAATGTACTGAGAGGCTGTGTAGTCAAGCGTTCCGTCTATTCATAGCCCCAGTCACCTCAACTCGAAACAGAGAGACAAGGGGCCGGGGTTGGAAGTAAACTGATCCCGAATGTCGTCAAAAACCCGAGTTCCAGTCTCACCGGGAGCAAGGCGAATGTGATATTTCTTGACCAACCTTGCCACCACGAACCTCATGGAGTCGGTGGCCAGGAAACGCCCGAGACAGCTGTGATGACCTGCAGATGCACGAGTTAGTCTCCATATCCGGCAACCACCACACGCGGGAGGGCTCCATACCTGTACCGAAAGGTGCGAAGGCGGATGCATTTCGGACCATCTCCGGTCGGGTGCTCCATCTCTCGGGGATAAACTCATTCGGCCGCTCGAAGCAATCCTCCCCTGAAGCAATAGTCAGTTTAAGAGAAGGCCTGAGCGCGACCAGACTCGACTCACTTCTGGAAATAACATGCCGAGGCGCAATGATGGTCGTGTTGGGCGGGATAAAGGTGCCGCCGATGGTTGCACCGTTCTCGGTCGTCTTCCTGGCTCCGCCCGTGAGCAGGGCCGGGTAGAGTCGGAGACCTTCGTTGATGACGGCGTTGAGGTGAGGCAGACTCGTCAGGGTCTTGAGGTCTGTCACGTCAATGTCCTTCAACTCTTCGTAGACCTTGTCAATGTGCTCCGGGTGCTTTGCCAGCTCGCAGAAGATGCCAATCAGAGCGGCAGCAGTCGGTTCGCTGCGCATGTTAGTTATTGATTGCCCCAAACCCGTCAAAGTATGCTCACCTTCCGGCCACAATAGCAAGCAGACTATCACCGAATAGCCAGGTCAAGCGATCCTTCATCTCAGTTTGTCCATCGTCCAGTTCCATCAGGTAATGGGCGAGGTCAGGGACAGATGGCTTGGGAGATGCATCGTCTAGTCTCACCTGCATCTGACGCTCGCACCAAGCGACCATGTCGAACCAGTCCTTCAGAACACCCACACGCGGAGCGAGCTTGAAGCCAACCTGAATCAACCACGGCGTAGGGCTGAACGGCCCAAGAAGGGAAAGGGCACGCTGCAGACGCACAATGATGTGGTGCCATTGCTGCTGATGCAGCATGTCAAAAGACTTGCTGAAGACGAAGTCGCCCATGACATCAAACCCGAACCAGAAGAAGAGGTCCCGCACTTCCGAAGGCTTGTTTGATTTGGCATTGGCCTCGATACATTGATCAAGTTGCTCAATATACTTGAGAATCTTTGACTCGTGCTGGACAAGGGCTGCAGCGCGGCACGGCACGTCAGATAGGCTCACGATACCGAAGATCTATGGAGACATACCTTGAGCCGAGAAGCCACGGTTCCATTCACGACGTCGAGCAGCATGAATTGGCTTGACGCGGGTGGTAACGAGGGCGCGATCGGGATGCAGAATGTCATACCACTCTGCCTTGATGCACTCCGATCGGGGGCCATCCACAGCCATGAAGACTCCGGGGTGGAAGACGGTGATTTCACTGGGACCTTTGAAACAGTCAGTATTGAAACAAATGGTCATGTAAAGTCGTTTCTCTCACCTGTTCTGACAAAGTCTCCATATTGCTCGTGCAGGTCCTCCAGAACCAGGTGGTTCTTGCAGTCTCTGCATGCCCATACGTGCCAGAGCTTCGTGATACGGGCGTACCACGGACCACGGAAGCCAGACAGACGATGGAAAAAGATTCTGTAGAGAGTGATACTGGCCAGAAGGCCGAGAAGATAGCCAGCAAACAGCGTCAACAGACACCGAGAAAGCTCGCCAATCAAGGTGTTTTTGTAGTAGATGCTTGAAGCAATGAAGCAAAAGAGAAACCAAAAGTGGCCCAGAGCAATCTGAGGTGCTTGCACATGCCACTCTCCGTGAATGAAGAGGGCATGGTGGACGGCGAAACCGCAGAGCACTCCAAGTCCGGAGACGAGGATGCCTTGGTAACTAGAGTCAAAGAGAACACCCATCATGAAGACAATGTCGTTGATGCAACTTTCCAAGTCCAAAGTCGACGGCAGCCCGCTCGAACACCTTCTTTCATGTCTGGACTCGAGCTGGCTTACATCTGCCGCCCTCGAGCTGTGATAGAGCTCTGCATGGCTCTAAGTGCTGGGTCTAGCCCCATTAGTCGCCATCCGTGGCAATCTATCGTGAGTTACCTGAGGGGTCACAGATTCCCACGGCGACTGACTAGTGTCCAATGGCCGGATGGCAAATCACCACGATCGTGTAACGCCCATCATACCATCGAGAAGTTTGTACTGATTGATGTAAAGTACAAGCCCGTGTCGGCTCCGCGGTGATCCTTGGGGCATCCCGATAACCTTGATATCCGGGTACCTGCTGGGAGGCCCCCGGTCAGTGGTGCGCGACTCATGGACTAGGGGTCCCGGAGAAGTGGATGGGTCTGCGCCAAAATGCGTCGGGTCCATGGTGCAGAAACGTCGTCGTACGAATGCAACTCTGCGGTGGGACCTGATTCAACGGTACCTAAAACGGCTGGTCGGGGCGCCGTCGAGAGTTGGTCTAATACGGCGGCGCGGGGGAGATGCCGGAAGCATAGCTCGGCGCGATGGTGATTGTTGCTATGCACCAACGTCTGTGCCGCAATGCACACGTACCGGTCCCCTCGGGCTAATTGTTGGTTCCTTCGGGCTGATGATTTAACACTGGCTGAGCTCCGCTGAGCCAATCCTCCTGGCCTGCTGTTCACTTGTGTTGCCCAAAACTTCATATCTTTGTCAAAATGTCTGCAAAATACGACTTCGTTATCGTCGGCGGTGGTGTTGCCGGCTTGGTGATTGCCTCCCGTTTGTCTGAGAACCCCGATATCCAAGTGTTGGTGTTGGAGGCGGGCGAGGACCAGACGGCGGATCCCAGAGTCAATATTCCCGCACTGGGGCCCAGTCTGGTCAAGACACCATCTGACTGGCAATTCAAGACGGTACCACAGGTGAGTCTCTCCAACAATGTGGTCGGATGCTTCTTGCATTTGGTTCTGACTATTGATGCAGAGTGGCCTCGGTGGTCGTGAGATTGGAGTGCCTCAAGGCCGCTTGCTAGGTGGTTCCGGTGCCCTCAACGGCCTGTCGTTCACTGTCACGACTCGTGCCAACGTTGAGTCCTGGGCTAGCTTGGGCAATGAGGGTTGGGACTGGCCCTCGTTCAGTGCTGCCCAGAAGAAGGCTTACTCTGTTGCTTCTGATGAGGCACAGAGCGGTCCTCTCAAGCTGTCTCTGCCTGACAACGCCGATTCTTTCTGGCCCAAGGTCTGGCAAGACACCATCCGCGAGTTGGGCTTTCCCAATGTCTGCGACCCGTTGAGCGGGCAGGGCGTCGGAAGCAGTCTCACGCCTGACACTGTCGACTCTGTGACAAGAACGAGGAGTTACGCCGGCAGCGCGTATCTGCAAGCCGCCAAGTCCAGGTCGAACTTGACCGTCGAGACCGGAGCGCTTGTGGAGAAGGTCGTCTTCAAGACTGGCGCTGACGATATTGTCGCAGAGGGTGTCCAGTACACCAAGGACGGCGAGAAGAAGGTCGCTACGGCGCAAAAGGAAGTCATCCTCAGCGCCGGCGCCCTGAACTCCCCTCGCATCCTGGAGCTTTCTGGTGTTGGAAGCGCTAAGCTTCTCGGCGGGCTCGGCATCGACGTTGTGCTCGACAACCCACACGTTGGTGAGAACCTGCAAAACCATGTCATGGTCGGGGCAGCCTTTGAAACACTCCCCGAGCACGACACCATGGACGGGATCGTCCGCCAAGACCCCGCGGCGGTCGGGGCAGCCATGGAGGCGTACGGCAAGCAATCGGGCCCCTTCTCCAGAAGTGGGACTTCGGCAACGGCACAGCTTCCGCTGCCGGCTACCGAGAATGCCGGGGAGCTGTTCGATAAGCTCAAGGCGGAGGCGCCGAAGACGAGATCGACACCTGCGTTTACCGAAAAGCTCGAGTCGTTCGTCCGCTCGGTCCTCACTTCCTCATCGGAGCCTTCCGGCTACTACCTCTCATTTCCAGGGTACGCCTTGTTCAACCCGGACGGGACAATGGCGGCGCCACCTCCCGGCGACGAGAAATTCTTTGCGTTCGGCCTGCTGTTGGCTCACCCGCTCTCGCGAGGCTCGAGCCACATCACGTCGGCGTCGTTGGAGTCGCCAGCGGTGGCCATTGACCCCGGGTACCTGACTCACCCCCTGGACGTGGAGCTTCTGGCCAGACACGTCCAGCAGATTGAGAAGATTGCATCCACGGAACCTCTCCGCAGCCAGCTCAAGGCGGGCGGAAAGCGCGTCCCGGCCAAGCCTCTGACCGATCTGGAGGAGGCCAAGGACTTCGTTCGCAAGACTGCTGTCGGTGCTCATCACTTCACGGGCACCTGCTCCATGATGCCCCGCGAGCTCGGTGGCGTGGTCGACGAGAAGCTGCGTGTTCACGGCATTCGCAATCTGAGGGTGGCTGACGCCAGTATCGTCCCCATCACGGTGCGGGCGAACCCTCAGGCGACCGTGTACGCGGTCGCTGAGAAGGCTGCTGACCTGATCAAGTCGAGCCTCTGAGGGATCGTATCATGTTCGCGAAGTGTCATGTACGAAAGTTTGGATGCAGACCGGCATTTCTTGGTGGTTTTGAAGCGAGACGAATTCGCTGTGCGAAGAGAGATTGATTATTATAGGAATTAGTGGGGCAATATGGTCGGCGTGATTGAATCAAGCAGCAGTAAGGGCGACATGATGCATGGACGATCAGGCCCTTAGAGATTGACAGCGTCCGACGAAGGAATCAAGAGGGCAGCAGATGGAGCTGTCGTTTGTAGGTAGTTGCAATAAAGTTGCTAGCGGCTGCGAGTTGTTTGATGGCCCGATCCGCGTCGGACCAGCTGCCAGGTACCGCGACTTTGTGAAACACCTCAGATGCCACAACTTCAAATGTATCTGTACTTGTTCACCCGCAATTGCCCAGTCGTACGTGGGCTCCATATGGCTTTCTCGAACTTCTTTTTGTCGGCAAGTGTGTTGAGAACGAGGCAATAGAAAGAAGATTCTCGAGATAGATACGAGCGTCGCCATCGTAGTTGGAGAAGCAAATCTTGAAGTCCTCGAAGGGGGTGTCACCCCGCGAGGAGAGAGTACGGCTCTCATCGTCAAGAACCACCATAGAGGCAATAAGGTTCGTCTCTCCAAATAGGCTTGCCATTCTAGGCATACGGTCGACGGGCAGGTGAGTGAGTGGAAATGACCTTGGACGCATCTTCTCTAATCTTAGGCGGCGCCCCGCCGATTTTGAATTGTGTAAAATTGTGGGTAGAAGAAGGACGGTGGACAGCGCGACGACGAGCCATTGAGGTCGCACATGGAGCGGAGGGCTCATCGGAACTCGAGCTGGTTACACTGGAGATGATGTGAATGACTGGTCTTGGTGATTTCTTCTGTTGTCCTTGCTATCGTCCGGGTCCTCGTTGTCGTCCATAATCGTCGTCCATGATTGTCGTCCGTGGTCGTCGTCTCAGTCGTCCTTGTCGTTGGGAGCTTTGGCTGACAGGTGTCACGCCCAGGCAGCGTCTGTACCTGTCAGACGCCCGTGCACGGGGCGCGCTTTTAATGGCCAAGAACGCGCTAATAGTATGAGTTCAGCTACCTACCCGGGAGGGGGGGGTCTGGAACGTAATGTTCCCTCAGTACTCTTTTCACACGTTGGTCTATTAGATAAGCGTTAGTCTATTATAGTAGGCAGGTGCTACTTGCCCTGTGCCCCTAGGGCTCTATAACTAAGCGCCTAGGCCTACTTAGACAGATTAGTTAAGCGGAACTAACGAATTATGTGATATGCTGTAGTCATAAGATTATAGTAAATATTCTAGAGGTCCTAAGTTTAAACTCTGAAAAAAAGTTTTCTTTAGTAAAAAAATTCAATTACTTTCATAATAGTAGTATAGATTATAAATATAATTTTTTGAATTTTTTACTTACTTTATTAATATACTATTTATAGTGAGTATCTTAATATAATATTATAGCTTATAATAATATTTTGCTGTTCATAGTCGGTTCATGACTAAGCGCGAACATAGTGCTAAATTTCCAACATAATGCGAACAGACTGCCTTCATTCTGCTAGCGCACCCTCCCCCCCCCCCCCCCCCCCCCCCTTAGGTAGTTACTTATTCCACTGTGGGGTTTGCATACATATACAAGTACCTCAGCGTAACAACGTCATGTGCTGCAGTGGTCAATTCGCGTGTGGTGTAGTGGGCCTCTGTTGAGCGCGTCAAGCCCAGTCGCGTCAACCAGGGCAAGAAATATCGCTGCAACCTACACAACCCGGACGGCAACGACCACGACGCCCGAGGACAACAACGCCAACGACAACGACAACGACCACGACCACGACGACGCCCACGGACGACGATCACGGACGACGGCCACCACGCACGACAATCATGGCCGACGCCAAAGGCCTCTTTGCAGAATGCGCCTTTGCATTCGTGCCGTCCGCCTACTTGGCGCCTAAGGAGATCAGCGACCTTACGGAGATCGTTATAGGCCGCGGCGGCGAAGTGCTCGACCCGAGGCGCGACGGCTCAATACGCCTCGAGCAAGTTACTCACATTATCTCCAACACAATCGACTTCCCTCAGTTCACAGAAACCCAGGCCTTCATGATCCCTGTTGTCGAGTCCAACTGGCTCAAAGCCTCCATCCACAGGAACAAACAGGCCCAGGTCCGGCCCTACTCGCCCGATCCGCGCATGTTCTTCTCGAAAATCAACATCACCTGCGCCGACCTGCCCGAAATCGACAAGGAGACAATCATCGGGGCGACTCTTGCTATGGGCGGTATGGAGACTGCCGACGTCACCCGCCAGACCACACACATCTGCGCGCTGTCTATGGAGCATCCCAAATGTGTCACTGCTAAGGAGAAGGGACTCAAATGCAAGATTGTTCTACCACACTGGTCAGTTGCGTCCATCTTGGTTCCTTCCGTTGTTGCCTGCTTACCTATCGTAGGTTCGAAGACTGCTTCAAACTCGGCAAGCGCATCGACGAGGGCCCCTACACCCTGCCCGACCCCGAAATCCTCAAAAACCCCGAGCTGCAAGCCGAAGTGCAGATGCCCAAGTACGATCACCTCCAAGGAGCAACGTCTACCATGCCTAACCAGCTCGTCGATAGCACACGCAGGGCTGCCACCATATTTCAAGGAAAGAGCGTCATGTTCTCGTGGGACCTTAGTATCACCCCGAGATCGTTGGAAATCGTCAAGCAACTCGTCATCAATGGAGGCGGCAGAGTGGTCCAGGATGTTGACGACTGCGACTACTTCGTGTGCCAATACCGCGACGGCGAACAGTATATCAAGGCCGCTCAATCGGGCAAGGATGTCGGAAACCTCTCGTGGCTCTACCACCTCATCACTCACAACGAATGGACCTCGCCCCTGCGACGACTACTCCACTACCCTGTCCCCCGAAACGGCATCGAAGGCTTTGAGGACTTCAAGATTTGCCTTTCCAATTACGGTGGCGACGCTCGTATCTATCTCGAGAACCTTATTCGGGCAACTGGCGCCACGTATACCAAGACGATGAAGGCCGAGAACACCCATCTCATTACTGCCCGCAGCAGTAGCGAAAAGTACGAGGCGGCTAAGGACTGGAACATCGAAACCGTCAACCACTTATGGATCGAGGAGAGCTATGCCAAGTGCGAGAAGCAGAGCGTTACCGTGGCCAAATACTCCCATTTTCCCGTTCGTACAAATCTCGGCGAGGTTATTGGCCAGACCTTTTTCGACGAATCCAGGTTACGAGAGACGTACTACCCGGGTGGAGAGGAGCATTTGTCCCCCGGTGCCAAGCGTAAGCGCAGGATTCTCGAAGCCGCCCAGGACAACTCGTACAACTACGGCCCTGCCGAGGGTGTCGTTATTGGGAGGCAAGAGGAGAAGGACGACGGAACCAAGGATGATGCGGTCGACGACAGCTTTATGACGCCTATTCGTCCCAAGAAAGGTGGTGCCCGCGGCAAGGAGAATGACACGCCCTCCGTTATGTCCACAGGAAGCGCAAGAAGTGCCAAGAGCAAGGCGCTTACCAACCTTCAACGCATCGCACCAGACATTGCTCTATACGAGAAGGAGAAGAAGCGGGGAGCCAAGCAGGGCGGCCCCTGGGGTGGCAAGCGTGCTGCGGACCAAATTGACAAGGAACGGGGACGGACGTCAAGCCCAGCGCAGGCGGACGACGGCGACGGCGACGACGACGGCGACAAGGACGACGACGAGAGACGCCCGACGAAGAAGCGGAAATCGGCAGGTCCAGAGGTCGAAATGAGGGTTGTATTGACCGGATTTACGAGATGGGTCAACAACAAGCACAAGGAGGATGTCGAAAGGGTTAGTTGTCTCAGTTCCTCCATTATTCTATACCTAGGTACTAACACCCCACAGCGTAAGCTTCGCGATATGGGTATCCTCATAGTTCAGGACGACAAGCCCTCCGACTACCTCGCCGCCCCACACATGGTGCGGACAGTCAAGTTCCTTAAGACCTTAGCCAAGGGGCCCACGATTCTCTCGTCCAAGTTCATCGACGAAGCGCTCGATAAGGGTGAAGCTCCTGACCCCGAAGACTTCCTTCTCGACGATAAAGAAAACGAGAAGAAGTTCGGAGTCAAGATAGAGACGGCTGTCTCCCGGGCTAGGGCGAATCTCGGCAAACTCCTCTGGACGGTACCGGTCTACTGTACCGAGCACATCAGCAACGGTCCCGATAGCTACAAGGCCATCGCTGAGGCCAACGGCGCAATGTTCAAGCTCTACCGCGCACGCAGCGGCACCACCATCAAGCCCACGACCGCTGAGGAAGATGGCGGCGCCGCACCTGAACCCGTCTATCTGCTAAGCTCCAACAGTCTGCAGGAGCGCGCCCTTTGGCCCAAGTTTGAGGAGATGGCCCGCAAAGGCCACATGGAGCCTCGTATCGTCGCCGCCGACTGGCTTCTGGACGTGGCCATGACCCAGCAGGTGACGTTTGATGAGAAGTACCTGGTCAAGAACTTTTTCGAAAAGTCATGATGTTTTGCTGAATATTGCTACGCTCTTGTACATAATAGCCACGCGCGCGCAAGGAGTTGAAGGTCATTGCATCGGGAAGTAGAAACGCCGTCCTCCGTCGGTGTCGGTGCCGTTGTCGGTGTCGCTGGTGTTGATCGTTGCGGAAGTATACGGAGGTATACGGATGTATAATGTATGAATGTCGTTACGTCTTCAAGAGAATCGCATGGGAGAATAGCTACATCGTGCCGTCGTATCGTCGATCGGTAATCAGAAGAACTTGACACCCTGGGAGTCCTCCTGTCCAAAGATTTGAGCCTTGCCTCGCTTGACCAGGACCTGCAGCGCTTTTTGCAGTAAATCGGAATCGAGGCCGTGAAAATCTGTGAAAATTCGACCGTCAGCGGTGACTCTCCCTCACATCTCGGAACACCCAAAAAAGACTCACCAGTCCCCCTCGTGCCCTCGCCCTCAGTGAGCTCATACAACGTCAACACAACCCCCTTCTGCGCAGTTTCGTCGATCCACGCCTCGATCGCCGCAGCCCACTCGTCCGGCGTGCGCCAGTACACCCAAAACACGTCCGGCGAAGCGGGCAGCTGCTCCGCGCGGCCGTCCTTCTTCATGAACTCGAGGACCTCGCGCGCGTCGGCCAGCGAGAGGCGCTTATTCAGCGTCTTGTTGTGGAAGAGCTCCTCCGGGCCGGCGGCCCCCGATGTCGCAGTGGATGTGCCGCCGAGGGTGGAGTCGATAATTGCGATGGACGGCGTGGATGTGTTGGGCAGCGCGTGCGGGAGGGCGGCGGTCGGCGCGGAGGGGATGGCGGCGTTGAGGGAGAGCTTGAAGATGCGGTTGTGGCGGCAGTAGGCGAGGATCAGGTCGGACCATTTGACGAGTTGCGCGTGGTGTGTGGTGAGGTTTGTTTGGCGGGTGAAGAAGGGGGGAAAGGAGTATTCCCGCGGGAAGGGGAAGGGGGCGGGTGTTGTCATTTTGGGGGCGGTGGTTGTGTGGTGGAGGATGGAGGTTTGAAGTCGAGCTGAGGCGCCCGGAAGCTTGGATGGAGGGGTTGGTGGGGTAAGGTACCTTATCTCGGTCGGGTTCGGTGTGTTCGGTGTGCAGCCAATCGTTGGATTGGCATGTCAAAAGAACAACTCCATCGCGCTCGCAGCCGTTACTGCTGTTTCACATCACAACGTCACTCAACTTGGCCATCTGAAGCGATGTATTTTCTACTATGACATACGACGAAAACGAATGAATGAGGAGACAAAATGACCAAAAAACAACGCAAGATCAATTTCCCAGACTCAATCCCGGCCTCTCCTGCACAACAAAGTCCAATATCGTTATTGATTGACAAAGGGTAGCTACGCTTATCAAGTGTTCATCGAGATAGCGGCACCGGCGAGCAATTCTTTCTCATGGGTCTTCAGTCTGGTCTTCATGGAGCGACTGATTCGATGGCCGATGGCGCTGACCGAGAGCGCGAACAGGATCGCGCAACCAAATGTGTAAAGGACAAGTGCTTCTTCGTTGTGTCGGACGAGTGCCCCGCCCCCGAGGCCGAGTATCATTCCCGCCGCGAGAACTCTATCTTGGAATCGGTCTTTATGATTGAGATGATACATCATGGACACGCCGGCTCCAAAGGCGAGCATGGTTAAGGGAGAGACGCCGGAGGAAGGTTTCCCGAGAATGTCGCCGATCTGCCAAATTCGATCATCAGCTCTCTGTTTCCAGCGAGCGTCACTTTCACTCACATGTACTATGAAGTTTCCCCCTAGCCCTACTTCCGAGGTCGACAGTCCTTCGAGCCATATACCTTCAATATGGCGTGTGTCAAGCCCTTTGGTGGTCGAACGGCTGGCAATGGCGGCTACGCTTGTCAAGACGCATAGGTGACCGCTGTTATCCTTTTGCGATCGACTCATTCCCAAGATCTCCTTCTTCCCACCACGCTGCTTCAATTGTGTTTGTCCGGTGTTCTGATTGATGACGATCGCGTCCGAGGATGGCTCCCTGTGCGTTCACATTAGCGACAGCTATTCTGCTGACTTCCCTAACATCGGTTTGCTGTACCCAGAATCCCCGACTTTGTATCGTGCCTCTGGAATTTCGACATCGTGCGATGCTCCCAGTCTACCCCAAACATAATCGGACCCCTCAGAGGAGCCGGTCTCGGGAAATTCGTCCATCATCGTCGCAGCAGCCGCCATTTCGATGGACAATGCACATACCCATCCTATTGTGAAGGCTTCATGTTTGATGTCCGATGTTGCCATTTCGAATCTCTGTCGGTCACTTGGATTGTCGAGATTGCTGCCTCCGAGGCGTCGTGTTGAATGCTATGGGGAAGAGTCTAGAGGATTTGTCCGAAGTTTTATTCATCTGCACAGCTTACTCTGATTTTCTCTAGCCTGGTAGCACAACCCCAATCGACAGGGGCATGATGTCTCTTGACGTGGCTCGCATTCTGCCATTGGGCGGCGGTCCGAGTGGCTTCAGCCTGCATGCTTAGACTTTTTATATTTTCAGTCCGATGGCTGTAATACAGTACTTCTCTCGGGTGTTGACAGTCCATATCTGGGGCGACCCCGCTTCGTCCAGATTCTTCTCTTCAAAGAAGTGATCATCTGACTTCTCTTACGCAAATCCACCACAAGGCATTCAAACGTTTAGTGCTTCATTGACGTTGGGTTTGATTGAGAATGAATGCACTTGCTGTTGTCCATCTCCCTCTTCCAGCAGTGGCACAACAACCTCGAATCAGAATATTGGCCACAACCTGGGTCTGGTATGTCCTCTCAGTTGTTTCTTTCTGGTTTCTTCATTTGCCTGTGGAAAGCACATCCTTATATGATTACTGTCGATCGACAACTAGGCTCGCATGGATATTGCAAAGACCAGGTCACCTACCTCAGAGTGTCGACTGGGGAAAACTCTTTCGAACTATTGCGGGAATATCGACAACAGTGTTATCTTTCTGCTTGTGGAAGCAAAAAGAACAACGTGGATTTGAGGATAATACGTGGCTGGGGTCTGTTATTTGTGGTCTTCACACCATTCGAGCGGCTAATGATGTTCGATTCTAGACTGTGGATTCTTGCTGTTACGATCAGCAGTCTTCTTGCTTATGTATGGTGTAAACATACGAGACGGACGGATAGGTATGCTCTCGAAAGACAATCAAGTTCTCCATTACCATCTAACCGGGCTTCATCCAGATTCATTCTTCTCGGCTTTTGCGTGGCCATGTCCTCCCTAAGGACACTTCTTGACGGATCGGGCCCACTGATCGACGGAATACCGGCATCCCTCCCACTTGGAATCCTCTTGGGTTCATTCTTGGCCTCCCTCTTGCTGAGTTCTCAGGTAAGTCTGCCGTAATGTTGCTCTTTTGGGTTTTACTGATCAAATTCGAAGTCGTAATAGTCGGGATACTACACAGTTCGGGCAGAGATGGCAACTCTCAGAATACTGTCTCGCGCGACGGAGGAATAAACTACATGGTACTCGCTTGGTCATCGGTATATCTCTAGACGCCATACGTGCGGTTCTAGGAGGACCCTACAGCTATTGGCTGTTTCACGTTTACATTGGATTGGCATCGCTGGTGTCAGTACTCAAGACGTATGTTGCGGATGCAGTAACCGTCCTGATAGAACTTTTCCTGTTATAGAAGAGCGTCTGCAAAAGTTTCCTTGCTGGAGATAAATCAATTTAACTAGAGGTGTCCCTAAGCTGGACTCAAGTCTGGTCTTAGACTGTTGAAGTTGGCCTTTAGCCGGTAGTCGAACATTTAACCCGTGCAAGACTGCGTGCTCCATATTCTGCACTTGAGTTTCTGTATCTATGTATTCAAATAATTCCCTCCCCCCCCCCCCCCCCCCCCCAAAAAAAAAAAGAAGAAAAAGAAGACAAAAGAAAAGTATTCGACTTCTAAACCTCCATCAGAAGCCGAACACCGCCAGGCTTCTTAGTCAATTCCTGACCCCGTGCACTTTGCTGATCTTGACTGAAGTCACAGAGACTGACTAGGAAATAAAACAGACCCCCCGGTTTCTGGATGATAATATGAAAGAATTCAACGTGAGACTTAATAAAGTTCTAATCCTCGTCTCCGAATCATGAGAGCAATAAAACTGTTCAAACTTGCAAAGGTTGGCGTCGTCTCGCTATGACATGGATGGCAGCGCTCGCCGATAGTATCAATAAGATCGTCCCCGGAAGAATTCTCAGTAAAGACACCATTGCTTCATGCCCACAAAAAGTAGCTGCAACCCATGTGAGTGTTATGCCGGCGGAGAGAAAGGTGTCTTGATGTCGATCGCCGCGGTTGAGATGGTATATCGAGCATGCGGCTACTCCGTAGACAATAGTAGCTCCGTAAAACTTCGCAGTCGATATGTCACTTGGACAAGGACACGGCTATTGATCGTTATAATTAGTTTATTCTTGGGAACAATAGTCAAACTCACAATTTCTGCATCACAGCGCAGTTGAGAATTGGAGCCTGATCCGTCCCAAGTTCCCATGCACCCCGAATGTTCATCGCCAGGCGACGCGAAGTTGCATATGACCGCCGAGCTCGTCCAGGCACATGCCTTTGCAACAGCTTCTACGGCGACTCGACTGGTATCATTGGTACTACCACTCGATGGACCCCATGTCGATGATGCCCCCAATCTTTCTGTCGGTTTGTTCAGGAAGTAATCGCTATGTGAGACAATTAGGTGAGATGCCTAGTTGAATGGAATCTTGTTTGCGGTACCTCTTCTCTTTGCGCGTCTCGATGGACCTTTCATTTTCCTCGCCTACTCCATCACGCAGAACGTTGGATGGGCCCATCGGTCGGGTATCATTCGCAGAGCCTGCTTTCGAGTCCCCAGAAGTCGCGTCTTGATCTTGCAAGTTGAAATGCCTTTCTCTGTAGCCCCATATCCGGAAAGACGAGCGATTCCATCTCAATTGATAGCGGCTGCGAATGATGATTGTCAAGAAGTCGAAGGCTGCAAGCCAAAACCACAGCGCTGAAAACGACATGACTCCAGTCTCTGTATGTAAAATATGTCTCAAACTGGTAATTTTGAATAACGAATAGACGTAGACTTTGTATGCGCGGCGCCGAGCTCTGTCGTCCAGTTATTGAGGGAGGCGAGTCAATCTTCCATTATTCTGAGGTGCGGCCATGCCAGCTAGATAATTGTGTTCTCGAGCTCTAGTCGACTGCCACGTTCTCAGTGAAACTGCCTGTTGGGTTCCGTAAGGCCTTGTTGGACGCTTATGGCGGCGTCGAAAGTGCCCAAATTGATAGCGAATTTGGACGTGGTTCGCTCCCGGTGGCAGTCAGCCGTGTGCCCAACTATGCCCAAACACTGCACAGCCATCGCCACAACAGCCCAGCGTGAGATATCACCTTCTTTTTCTCCCAACTGAGACGACTGAAACAAAATTCAACAGACTCACCGACTCTTTTCCCAACCTGACCCTCGTCACATCTGGCACAATCACACTAGGGACAATGTCAGAACCTCGACCGTCTCTCCCCAGCCTACCTCGCTCATCATCGTTGACTCCCGAGGGCAATCCCCGAGTATCCGCACAATGGACACAATGGTTCGCATTTACTGATATTTATTCCAATGATTTGTACTGACAAAGGCGATCTTCAGTTGTATTCCTCGATACAATACTTTCGTCCGCCGCTACAACTCCCATCTCAGAATTATACGAGCCCTGCTCGCTATAGTCACTTTCGCAACATCCTTATTCGTGGCAAATGAAAATGATAACAAAGGAATGCAAGACACAGTTTGGCAAGTGTACGTTCATGTGTCCTCTGATTCACAGGCTAGACCCTGACTCTTGTCTTTAGCCTATGGTCAATCTCCATGTTCGCAAGCTGCGTCCTGTGTGTAGCATGGTCCCTGTCACTAGAGACTAGGCGTTTTTCCGCGTAAGTATCTTGCTCATTGCTTTTGAAACGATT